ATAGGCTATTCTTTTCCTCTTTCACACATTGCTGCCAAATCCTAAAATTATCTTATTCACTTAATCGAAATGTAGTTTTTCATGCTGTGCAAGTTGCCTCCAGAAATCAAAGTATTTTAATCTGGTTATTGAGTCTAGTTCTGGGAAGTATCCCAACACACAATGGGCTTTTTTCAGAAGGTTCTCAGGGTTTTATCTGTCCTTTTCTGTTTTCATCTGAACCCAGTTGTTCATCTATCAGTTAGTAACAGCTTAGATTAAAACAGGCATTTTTACTAATTCCTTTTGGAACCCACATCTAACATAATTAGTCATGATGCAGCAATATGTATACAGTGGATTTGCTCAAAGTCTTTGAGGATCATCCTGGTATTATCTGCCAGATGAACTGCAATCTACACTCACCGGCCACTTTATTAGGTACACCTGTCCAACTGCTCGTTAACACTTAATTTCTAAGCAGCCAATCACATGGCGGCAACTCAGTGCATTTAGGCATGTAGACATGGTCAAGACAATCTCCTGCAGTTCAAACCGAGCATCAGTATGGGGAAGAAAGGTGATTTGAGTGACTTTGAACGTGGCATGATTGTTGGTGCCAGAAGGGCTGGTCTGAGTATTTCAGAAACTGCTGATCTACTGGCATTTTCACGCACAACCATCTCTAGGGTTTACAGAGAATGGTCCGAAAAAGAAAAAACATCCAGTGAGCGGCTGTTCTGTGGGCAGAAATGCCTTGTTGATGCCAGAGGTCAGAGGAGAATGGCCAGACTGGTTGGAGCTGATAGAAGGGCAACAGTGATTCAAATAACCACCCGTTACAACCAAGGTGGGCAGAAGAGCATCTCTGAACGCACAGTACGTCAAACTTTGAGGCAGATGGGCTACAGCAGTAGAAGACCACACCGGGTGCCACTCCTTTCAGCTAAGAACAGGAAACTGAGGCTACAATTTGCACAAGCTCATCGAAATTGGACAATAGAAGATTGGAAAAACGTTGCCTGGTCTGATGAGTCTCGATTTCTGCTGCGACATTCGGATGGTAGGGTCAGAATTTGGCGTCTACAACATGAAAGCATGGATCCATCCAGCCTTGTATCAACGGTTCAGGCTGGTGGTGGTGGTGTCATGGTGTGGGGAATATTTTCTTGGCACTCTTTGGGCCCCTTGGGTACCAATTGAGCATCGTTGCAATGCCACAGCCTGCCTGAGTATTGTTGCTGACCATGTCCATCCCTTTATGACCACAATGTACCCAACTTCTGAAGGCTACTTTCAGCAGGATAATCCGCCATGTCATAAAGCTGGAATCATCTCAGACTGGTTTCTTGAACATGACAATGAGTTCACTGTACTCAAATGGCCTCCACAGTGACCAGATCTCAATCCAATAGAACGTGTTTGGGATGTGGTGGAACGAGATATTCGCATCATGGATGTGCAGCCGACAAATCTGCGGCAACTGTGTGATGCCATCATGTCAATATGAACCAAACTCCCTGAGGAATGCTTCCAGCACCTTGTTGAATCTATGCCACAAAGAATTGAGGCAGTTCTGAAGGCAAAAGGGGGTCCAACCCGTTACTAGCATGGGGTACCTAATAAAGTGGCCGGTGAGTGTATTTCTTGCATGTTATAACAAACTGCCGGTTATTAAAGCATACTAACAGGGGAAATCAGAAAAGATAGACTTTGTTTGATTAATAGTTCATAAAGTAGAGCTGCAGGAGTTTGTGTGAGGGGGAGCTTAAATGCACAGAAATATTTTATTTTTCACAAATAGTTCGGGGATATTTGCATCTGTGACGCCATAAAGGGTCATTAAGATGGTGCACATAACCTCAAGACACCACTAGGTGTCGCACTAGAGCTGTAGAGCCTCAGTCCAAAACTGAAATGGGTTCCCCAATAAAAGCTTGCCAGCTGTTTGTAAATGTCACTGCATCTGTAAACCAGATAAACTATGTGCTCTACTCCCTGTTGTATTGAAACAGGACACTTTTATTAAGAAAAAAAATGATATAAATTACAAAATGTTGTAACAAAATGGAGGGATAAAAGTATATTTTAACATGCAAAAAAATAAATGGCTGCCATTTGTTTATTTGTGCAATTAATAAATATAAAGTGGACTAACTTTAAAATACTTAAATGGAGTGTTTAATTGCTTGATTTAATAATAACAATAACAATAATAATAATAATAAGAAGAATAAGAACAATAAAAATAATTGCACATGTTGCCAGTAATTCACATTTATTGCACACAAAACTAACAACCTTTTTTAACTAGGAAGCTGCATGCTCTCCTGTTAGGTAAAGAGTAATACAAAGGAAAATACCTGGCCATGGAGTTGGAAGTAACATTAATATTAGTTACCTGAAATTATAATATCAATAGAATAACAAAAATGGTGACAATTATGCTTAGTAAAAGTTACATATATGTATGTCATGGTGCTGTAAACAAAAAGAAAATGAAATAAAAAGCATAAAATATTGAAACCTGGGTAGAGGCAAAGTCAGTTGTGTTGAAAACACTTTGTTGTTGTTAAAGTTCTTTTATAAGGCAAAAATTAACTAAATAGTAGTAAGTATAACCAGACAAGGGACATAGTTTATGAAAGGTCATTTTTTTTTTTTTTTTTAGCTGATATTTTTATACCTTTATTTATATATCAAGTCCAAGTAGGCAGGTCTTATAAATAGAGGTGAGTATTGGCATGAGTGTTGCGATTCGATACATGTCGCGATACGTGGATCACGATACGATATTATCACGATATTGCAGTATCACTATATATTGCCATATTTTCCCCAGCTATCAAAATCAAATGATGAGATAAAACAGCAAGTGCTGTATATTTTCATCAGAAAATATTGATTAGGTATTATTATCCATGTTGTTTGGGGTTTTCTTCCTCTGTGACTGCCTCAAATACAAATTTGGTGCTGCACGCACAGTTAAAGGGCTCCACAGCGCTTTCTGCTAGAGTGGTGGTGCAGAGGTAGCCCATTTTCCCATCAATGTTTTATGTAACCATTTTTTTTTTTGAAAATCAATACTAAGAAGTGAAAGATCGATATTATATTGGGCAGCCGAATATCACGATATATCGCCAAAACGATTATTTCCCACACCCCTACTTATAAATCAAGTCTTTTAAAGTCCCACGCTCTAACCATGTCTGTGATGTTCATTCACTGAAAACCAGTTTGAGACCTTTCCCAAACTGTCTCATGCTTGGACAATATTTTATTTCAATATTAAGTTTGTTCCATACATTATCCCTTAACTTATATCCCCCTCCCCAGCTTTCTGTCAGCTGTTGTCTGTATCTTCATACTTTAACGGAATAATACATTAGTGTGCTTACAATTGCCTGTCTGGACGGTGCATAGTGGCTTGAGTGTTGTCCTATACAATAAGTGTTACTACAGTGTTCTGTGCAATAGCCCAGGGAGCAATAGCTCAAATCAGCTAACTGTAGACAATGTCTTTTCATTTCTTGTTTTTTAATTCTGAAACCGTTTTGCAGTTATTACAAAGGTTTCCAGCAGATTTTGTTGTCAATAATCACAACTAAGAATTACAATTCATACTTGTTCCATCTCTACCCCATCTGTTATGACTTCTCTTCATCTTCTGATGCTTATCTCTCAGAGACAAGTAGTTGGGGCCTATCTTTAGCAGTCTATGGATGAAAGAGGGGGCAGGTGCAGGGCAACACACAACACATTTAACCATGCACGCAAGCTTATACCTAATAGCAGTTTAGAGAAGAAAATCCACCTAACAGTCATGGACTGTGGGAAGAAGCTGGGTGCCTAAGAAGAGCCCACACATGCACGGGGAGAACATGTAGACTCCATGCAGATACACCCTAGGCTTGTAATCAACCCAGGACATTCTTAATGAAAGAGAAGCAGTGCTACAAACTGTGCCACAGTGTAGCCCTCTATTATGATTATCACATCTCTATCACATTTATTCTCAAATAACACAAACTTATATTTTTCTCTAAATGAGAGGGACAGTTTGTTTTTGTCAAATCAATTTCATTTGAGCTTTTCTTATTCAGAATGCTGCTGTCTGTATCCTCATTGAAACTAAAAAATTAGAACATTTCATCATATTTTGAAAGTATTAAACATTAAATGCCTGGATCTCAGAGAAGAGACTTAAATATGTATATCATTATGTAAATAACTAACTATCTTAGCACAAAAAAACAACAACAACAGATCTGTTGTCTATATATAAACCTTACAGACCAGCCAGGCATTCTGAATTGAAGTTGCATCCCCAGAACAAAAAGAAGGGAATAGCACAATTCAGTTGGCTCCCCTTACCTGGGAAAAAAAAGACTATAAATGTGATGAAACCCTAAGATAATTGTCTATAGGTTTTTTTTTTTTTTTTTAGATGTCTGCTCTTGCTATACTTCCCTGTTTTACTTTTTAAATGTTAACTAAAACCTAACTAAAATATTAAGCTGTTATTTTCTTTTCTGAAAGAAAAAGTGCTTTTCTAAAGCACTTTGAAGTTCCCTACTGCTAAAATATGCTGTACAAATAAACCTGCCTTGGCTTGTGGGATAAAGCAATCAACAGTGTTAAAGGAAAGCTCGTTCTTTAATCTACACCTTGAAGCTTTCTCTCTCCGGTTCTTTTCCTGAACCGGAGAGTTTTGTTGTGCTTTCTGAGAAACTCATGGGTGCCCCAGGATTTTAAAAGTTTTTTTTTTTTTTTTTTTGCCAGGAAAAGATTAGAGGGTTGTAAGGATTATTTACAGTCACAGGATAAAAAGGTCCTGTAATTTTGTCTCATTTCAATATTTCAGGTTGAAGCTGGGTAAATGAGGATGTGAGGGGAATTTTCTTCAAACCATGGAGTGCCCAAAGTACATTTAAGTTTCAGAGAAGTAAGTTTATTTTTTTTCTTTTAACAGCATTTTTGAATAGACTCTATCTGAAAAATATTTGAAGCTCAAAACATCACACATTTATTTTTGTGTTTATTAACACTGAACTCAGCATTGATAATACACCTCACAACCATCAAATGTCATTTAGAAAAAGTTCCTTGAACCTTTAACACTTAAAAAAAAAAACCTAGGGCAGAGCAGTTTATTTTTGGGGGGGGGAAAGACACAAAATATAGAAGAATAGAAAAGGAAAGATAACATTATTGCATTGCTGGTATTTTTCTCAAATTCTAAATTTAATCAAATGAATATGGGAACTTGAAAAGTAGAGAGAGTCCACCCATATGTTAGTTTCTCCACAACTGGTCGGAGCAGCGTCTGCATTCTTCAAACTTATCTACCAGGAGCTGCCCTGCAGACCTGTAATCAGAAGCATGAGTCACAGGAAGGTGTTTAATAATCCATTCATCCATTTTCTGACAGGCTTTATCTCAAGTGGGGTTGCGTGCCTATCTCCAGCTGTCTATGGGCGAGAGGCGGGTCACTAGTCCATCTCACAGCAACACAGAGACAAACAGGACAAACAACCATTCACAGCCTTTAGATGTAATAACACTACTTAAGACCTACAGTAAGTACGACAACAGATTAAAAGGTAGTTGACCTTTTTCGCTCTTTCTCAACTCTCTGCCATCCGGGTTGCTGTTTCGCAACGAGTTAACTTTGGTTTGTCTGGCTGGTAGTCAAGCGACCCCATAGATTTAACACTCACGCCAAAGAAGAATTATTTTGGACAGTGGGAGAAACCCACGCATGCTTAGGGAGAACATGCAAACTCTAAGCAGAAAGACCCCGGGCCAGGAATCAAACCCACAACCTTCTTACTGCAAGGCTGCAGTGCTACCCTCTGCACCACTGAGCTGCCAATTTAAAAATCCCTTAAAGGAAATCCTGTTAAATCTAAAGGCTCCTCCAGTGCATGTGGAAAACAACATTGCCTTCTGAAATGCATCTATCCCTTCATCTCTCATGGTCAATGTGTCATTGTGTTATAATTCAGTCATGTTTGTTGTTATGTTATCAATAAAAGGTTTTAGATGGCTTTCAACACACACCTCAGGAATAGCCTCTCCTCTTCTTCTCGTTGGTGTTTGAGCTCCACGCTTCGATTCCACTCGTCCTCAAGCGACTTTCGGATGTTACGCTTCCTTTCAAAGTGATTTGTTTTATCCTGAATCATCCTGTGCAGAAGACAGTACAGTGCTTTTAGTTCTATACCTTCTACTTTTCATGTTTCTCTAAATTGAACTTTTGTCTCTCACTCTGTTTTTGTGCGTTGGAGCATTTCCCTTTCTTTTTCCAGCTGAAGTTGACGGATCTGCATCTCTTCCTTATTTCTCTGAGTAGCAACGCTGAGATTCTCCTGAGACACCTGACATCAATGAAACATACTGTAGCTCAAAAAGACCACTTTTGGTTAAGACTAGTGTTGCACCAATGCCATTTTTTGGCCCCGATACCGATATCTGGCTGTGCAGTATCGGCCAATACCGATACCATACCAATACCATTTGTTTGAAATTGATGTGTGTGTATAAATTAAGAACTGCATACTACTTGGATGTAAAATAATTGCCATCATGGCTTTGTCAAGCTGCTGCCTACCTTTGTGAAGCAGGAAAAAGTCTACGTAATATAAGTGAATCCAGTAGAATTTTTTATGCTTACCTGGAATGGGTGACAATAGTTGAATAAACTTTTGGCTCTCAAAATGGTATCGGTGCCCTATTTGTTGGTACTCGCCGATACCGATACCAACATTTTAGTGCATGATCGGGGCACCGCCCTATACTGGTATCGGTGCAACACTAGTTAAGACCTACGGTAAGTACTAAACATGGCCTCTTTTCTAAAAAAAAAAAAAAAAAAAAGTCTAAGGCCAGTAACTAAAGACGACAGATTAAAAGGTAGTTGACCTTTTTTGCTCTCTCTCGACTCTCTGCCATCCGGGTTGCTGTTTCGCAACGAGTTAACCTTGGTTTGTCTGGCTGGTAGTCAGGAGATCCCATAGAAACCTTATTCACCACCTAAAATCAAAAAACAAAGTTTGTAAGTAGTTGAGCCTCCCTCCAGGAGGAGGCTAAGAGAACGCAATTGGACATGCTGGAGGAAGTATATTTCTTAGCTGGCATGTAGTCCCTCAGGCTTCTCCAAACTTATAAGTTCTGTGTAAGTTGCAGGGCTGCCCCAGCTGCCCCTAGAGGGAAGCTGTCCAGCAGGTTTTAGAGGTTTCCCTGGTACAGCACAGCTGACAGTGACAATTGCAGTTTAGCAAAAGCCTGTTAATCAGCTATCAATGGATATCAGCTGTACTGAGGCAAGGAAACCTCTAAAAACTGCAGGACAGCGGCCCTCAAGGGGTAAATTTGGGCAGGCCTGGTCTAAGGAAATCTGGAGGTCTGTGATGCCACTGCTGGCCAGAGACACAGACTTCAATAAGTTGAAGAAATTATGTAATGACTTTTACACCCTTAATGTTGACAAGTAAACTATTTTTACCTGCTGCTGTTTCATTATTAAAGATACAAGAAGCAGGTTAAAGAATAGAGAAATTAAATAACATTATACTTCAAATCTAAATTTTCTGCAATAGTTTTCCTACCTGGGTGTCCAGAGCCTTCTTGTTAAGCCTAGTTTTCTCCTGTTTCTGTTGGAACTGCTGAGCTTTTTGCAGAGCCATCCTGAAACAAACACACACACACATATACATGAATGTTACACTATATAAGCTATTGATGGCTAAAATTAGTTACTTACAACTTTATCTGCTGGATCTGGTTGAGGCGCTCTGTGAGAAGATGGTACTGCTCAGGCTTGGACTGGTAATCTGTGATACCGGGCATTTGGGCGGTGGGCCGGTCCTATATTTAAACATCCGAGGGCCGGCCCCCCTTAAACCATGCTGGCCCAAACACTTACACTCCGACCGAAGCATCTACCTGTGACAGTAAATAACTCATTGAGCTCAAGAAGTAATACAATGTTTACTACCGAATTAATGCATACAGTATATATAGCCCTTCCTAGTCATGCACGACATTGTGACGCATATGCATATGCATAGAAAAATTTTCTTTTTCTTCAAACTGTAAAATCCGATTTCTTCAAACTGTAAAATACTTGCAACAAACTAAATTATAAAAAATAAAATGCTTTCTTTAAACCAAACTACGATGGTCCTCTTATATTTGGCGAATTTATGTATGAATATTTTGGAAAAATAGGTTGCGGTGCATGATGGGGTTTTGCATCTAAAGGCTCACGTTTCCCATCTTATGTGTATTGTTGCCAGGTTGGGAAACATCCCAACCTGGCAGTTTAGGATGGCCGTCTATGGGTAAAAAAGGTTTTTCTTTAGATTTATGGCCAAATTGGACGAGATCTCGTATATTCAGGCAGTTCATGAAAATGTTTTGGGCACGAAAACATGAGTCAGTGACATCTGGCAACCCTGCTGATGTGGTGAGTGGCACTGGTGATGCTTCTAACCTAGTATTAAAGCTTTGGAAGGCATTCAATATAATGTGACGGATGTGTGTCAAGGTGTACAATTCACCACTTCACCACTACTACTCTTAATAGTAGTAGTATCAGTAGGAGTGCTGGTTTCGTTGATTTCGGTCTGTTGACGGATGGAACCATGGACTTGCAGTGGATGCTTACACACTGCTAAGGTTTCATGTATTCATTCTTGAAGAACTGCCTGTCTGCCTCTATATTGCATTGTTTTATGTTGGTATTTTTACAAACCTCAGGCTTACGTTGTAGACCTAGTATGTGTGAGTGGGTTGGTGTGTGGCTGGCTTCGTGCAATTGTACACGTTACGCAGCAGCATTTCATGAGTGGGCCGGTGTAGATGGAAAAATGCAGGGGCCAAAAATAGTTCCCAGTCCGAGCCTGGTACTGCTGGTCTTGAGCTTTGAGATTCTGTCGCTTCTCCATCTGCCTCTGTAGATCATTCATGTACAATTGCTGCTGTTTCCCAGTCAGAGGTCTGAAATGCTTCTTATTGCATTACCAAAACTGGTTTAGGAAATTTTCTGATGTGTAATAGTAAATAACAAAAAGAAAACACATCATCAATGGTTCCTAGGAAACCAAGTTTGGCTTAGCAGTCTAAAAAGGGTTGTTGAACTATTTCTCTATTGATTTAGGACTGGTGTCCTGGCAAGGCTGATCAACTGACATAAATCTGCTGCAACAGGCTGACGACCTGTGGAGGAATCAAAATGGACCAGTGCTAAGAGGCTCACGCAGCAGTGAGAGGTAGAGCTGTCTCTCTTTTCTACTTCTACTCAGGAGTGGCCTTCATGGAGAGGCAAAGAGATGGAATAAATCCTTTTGTGAACCCCCTATAGGCCACCTTTGGTGAGAAAGTTGCATCCCTGTGCCTTTAGGTATAGGAGAGACAGCTTGGGCTCCTCTCGGGGAAACCATTACCCGTATTTTCACGACTATAAGGCGCACTTAAACGTCTTTTTTTCCCCTCAAAATTTGCGCCCTATGGTGCGGTGCGCCTTATGTGTGTTGTAACTGCGACTTTTGAGACCACCTCATTGAGGAGATGATGAAAGAGTGGCTGAATGTAAGGAGACCAGGTGTTTTTTTTCCACTCATCACCATCGCTGTTAATATGTAACTCCATGCGTGCCCATCTCACAGCTGATGTGAAAAACATGGGGAAACAAATTAACGCTGTGCTCGCTGTTCAACCGCTCGACATCGGTGTGAACCGGACCCAGCAGGTGCAGCAGAAGCAGCGAGTTTACATGCAAAGTCAATGGTTGACGCGCGTATAGGCGCAGCAAAAGGTCCCGAGCGCGTTTTGAGCTGCAGGTGCAGCACGTCAGGAGCGTTTAAGCATCTGACGCACCGCCAACGCGCTGCTGCTGCTCGAGATGGAAAAATTGAAGTTTTGCTGCTGGACGCGCCGCATCAACCAATCAGAGAAGCTGATCTGGGAGCTGACAGCGAGACAGACACAGCGCTCTGATGACATTAACGCAAATGAAAAAGGCTGGAGATGATGAAAGGCAGGTGTATGTGAGGAGACCAGGTGCTTTTTTCCACGCATCACCATCGCTGCGTGCCCATCTCAAAGCCGATGTGAAAAAAAAAGGTCAATCAAATGAACGCTGTGCTCGCCGTTATCCCGGGGGGTCTGACAAAGGAACTTCAACCGCTCGACATCGGTGTGAAGCGGCCGTTCAAAGTAAGGCTGCGAGCGGCGTGGGAGCGATGGATGACAGACTGAGACCACAGTTTCAGGATATGTGGAAGGCAGCGCCGGGCAAGTTACGCCACCTTTAGCAGATGGATTGTAGATGCTTGGACTAACGTGTCTGCTGGCTCTGTTGTTCAAGCTTTCGCAAAAGCCGGCATTATTTCTGAGGAGCCGCGCTGCACGGAAAGTGACTCTGACAGCGAAGAAGGGGAAATTGGCATGTCTGATTCAGCGCAGCTGTTTAATTCAGAAACAGAGGATGATGACTTTGATGGGTTTGATTAATACTTTGTAATAAATACATGAATAAAGCACAATCATACTCAGTTTTGCTCCCGCTCTATTTTTCTACCTGAAAACTTAATTCAACAGCAGCCTCTGGGCCGGGTCTCCTCCTCTTCACCGCGGCGGCTGGCAGGTGTTTTTTCATCTAAATAATCTAAATCTTGCAGCTATATTAGCTGTGATCAGTGGGAATAAAGTAGTTTTAATATGTTTTTAAGTGAGAAAGGCCACCTGAAAACTTAATTGCAGTCAGTTAATCCAGATTATCTATTTCTGTCGGAGGCGCTCAGACCCCCACATACCAGCGGTGCACCGACAGCAGAAATCCCTTCAACAGCAGCCTCACCGCGGCGGCTGGCAGGTGTTTTTCTTCTAAATATTTTACAGTGCAGGCACCAGGATACCGGCAATAAAAGAGAACATATTCCGTCGGCAGGTTTCAGGATTTTAAGTTAATTTAGGAGTAATCACAGCGCTGTGTCATCTGCGATGTGTCTGTCTCACGGCCAGCTCGCAGGTTTGATTAATACTTTGTAATAAATACATCAATAAAGCACAGTCATACTCAGTTTTGGGCCCGCTGTATTTTTAAAATACGCAGTAGAGGTATTTAAAGGTAGTAGAGGACATGTACCTGTATATAAAAAACGCGCCCTATAGTCCGGTGCGCCTTATGTGTGTGTTAAATACAGAAATGGGACACATAATTGAGACTGCGCCTTTTAGTACGGTGCGCCTTATGGTCGTGAAAATACGGTATCTTGATGGGGGACTTTAATGACCATGTGGCAATCAACAGTGACACTGAGAGGAGCATGACCTCCCAAACCTTTTGACACATTTCTTGAGATCGGGAGTTTGCTTTTCCATGGAACAATTTAACCTTTAGGCTTGATTACTCACTGTTTCAGAGTGGGTAGGCTGGATGGTATTTATTCCTTTTTGTGGGTATTTTTTTTTATTTTTTTTAAATACATGCACGTATTTCTGAGAGAAGTGAAACTGCTTTTATTGCTTTACATCTATATCATATGACATGTGGTGTACACTCACAAGGTAGCAATAGATAGATAATAATGAAATAATGAGCATGTCTTGTTTTCAAATACAATTCAATGGAGAGATTATTCAATGATATCAATTATTTGAGTTACAGAAAAAAAAAATTGAATAAATGCACAAACTCACTTGTCCACTATGGAGCTGATTAGGGCAGCTGATATATTTGACATGAAAGAAAGAGAGAGATTCCAGTTCCATTCGACAAATTATGTAGCAAGTATTTTCAGCAACTAAATAATAATCAATTATTATCTTAGTTATAACACTTTAAAATATCTGATTGGCTTTCAAATTAAACTCTTGTAGAACGGGGGTATATGTTCCAGAAGACAAGCTGATATTCTACATAAATAATGTCAGATTATTTCACTGCACTTACAATAAAATGGCTTTGAAGTGAGTAGAAGTCTTTCACAGATAACGCTTTTCTATGACTTCAAGCTTGACTAAAGTCACCCATTGACTGCCCTCACATATACACTTACTATTACAGTACTATTGCTACAGGGGCTTGTTTCTTTTAAAAGAATAAAAAAAACAACTTTAGGTCTTGAGATCTTAAAGTTCTCCTGGGTTTGTATGTAACTGTTAGGGCTTGCTAAGGTAAACAGGATTTGAAGCTCAGATGAACTCCCTGCTGTTTTGATGGAATATAACTGCTCTGTAAAAACATTTACATAATAGATTCTGGGTGTGTTTTTTACTGGAAGCATAGGGTGAATGATGAGCCTAAGGGAAAATCTAACCTTTCTACATGAATTATGGAGTTTGCACGGTTAAAGAGGCAGTGATAGTAATTTGCTGCCCCCACTGAGATCTGAGCTCTCTCTGATAAGGCTTAGTACAGTGCACAGTGCAAACTGATCCTCCATAGGAAGTCTCTGTGTGGGTTTCTATCCGTGTGTGTATGTGTGTGTGTGTGTGTGGGGGGGGGGGGGGGGGGGGGGGTCAGTTCCTCAGTCAGGTAGACAGGTTTCATTTGCAGTTGCTGATTAGATTCTGACTCTCTCCATTGGAGAACCTCTGCAAAGACACCTAATACTCTGAATGGGTATTAAGGTTAGGCTCCCTTTTAATGATTATTCCATTAAAAAGAAAAATTTTTTTTTGTTTATCTCATTTTTTTAGTATGTTTGACTTTTAATTGAAAAGCAAAAACACCTCAGATGAAACTGCTTTGAATCTGTCAGTATCCAAAATGTTGACTATAGGCCTTTAGGTTTTTAAGCAAGAGTTTTTAACCTATTTACCAATTTCTGCAAAGTAAAAAATGTCCACATTACTTAAAACTGAAGTGAAATTTAGCTGCATCTCAATAAATTACAGTGCCATTGAAAAATGTATTTATATCGACAATTTATATCAGAAAATAACACATTAGCAAATAAACATATTTACTGCACGTTTGATATATTTAACATGTTTTCAGAAAACATGATTTCGTTTCATGTTCTCAAGGCACAAAGAACAAGAGAAAAGTTTGTTTTGCTAGTGTTTAAACTTTAGAAGAAGCTCGGCTGCTGAACACATAGAGAGTGCCATACACTCTAGCTTACATAAACACAAAAGCAGCAGAAAGGTATGTTTATCGGATTAATGATGAGGGGGGATGATATATAAATGCGATGAAGCCTGTTACTTAGAAGACACATCTTATAAATGTTTGTATTCTCTCACTACCTGTTCCAGTGAATCCTTAAGCCGTCCATCCATGTAAGAATTTCTTTAGAGAGGGATTTCTGACCCGAAAAACAACAGTGGAAAATCCCCTTTTCAAATGTGAGAAAAAGCACGGGTCTGCAAGTACAAGTTGCATGAGAATAAGGTCAAAGGGAGTATTTCTCAAAAACTGTCAAGGAATGACATCCCTTCCAGCTCATGAAACAGGAGTTTGGGAAATGGTGAAAAACAATAAATGGTCAAAGGACAGTTGAAGATAAAAAAAATTTAGTGTTGTTTTTACTGCTTATCAGGAGCAGCCATGTTATTAAACTGAGTAAAAGGAAAACATATCTACATTAAAATTCTTAATTCACAGTCATTCTACTTTTTTATTTCGGGTCTAATTTTGAGCTTCTAATTTTGAACTGCTTTGATTGCAGCCTTTCATCCTAGTGGTGTGGAATGTATTTAAAAGGTAGGAAATGTTGACAAAGTTGTTCAGAAACCAAGAAGAATGTAAGCAGACCCCTCCATCTTGGATAATTATTTTTGTTATCCATCTGAGAAGAGCAGAAAGAGAGCAGATAGTTGGCAGGGTGATGCAGCCCGCAGTCCTTGACTTTTGAATCTCAGGAAATTCGTCAGAATGTACGGACACACTACCACCAGCTCTCTAGAAGCAAAAGTAAAAGTAATCTGAATGGATTGGTTTTCTTAACGCTGCTTGTAAATGAAAACACACTTTTCTCCTCATCATATTAGATTTTGTTGGTATCACCAGTCTGACTGGTTTTATTTTAAAAAGTCCTGCCAAAATTCATCTGACACCTAAAAAAAAAATTACCATTTAGTGTAACAGCCTCTGTCAAAAACAAAAGAAAAGCCTAAAAGATATGTGTTAGAATTTTCCTAATAAGTTTTATTTTATTTTATTTTTTTATTTTTATGAAAATGTCAGATTCTTCCTTGTGGAAAATATAAAATACTATTTAAGTAAAAAAAAAAAAAAGCTGAAATTTGACAGTGAGAGCAGGTTTGCTGTTGTTAAGAGAGCAAAGATGAATGTAAATGTCATCCTAATTCCACTAAGATATATACCCTACAACTTTTAGTTAGCTATAAAAATGCTCAGTACACCCAAGGGGAAATGTTTGGGATGTTTATCTTTTTTTCCTCTAACTACGACACAGCTGTGTTTGGATGACTGATCACAAATAATCTTATACAAAGTTTATAGAGAGAGCTGGTAAACACAAACAACATTTAAGGAATCTCATTAACAGTTTATTTCACAAACAGAAATAGACTTTCTGCGGATGGATGGATGGATGGATGGATGGATGGATGGATGGATGGATGGATGGATGGATGGATGGATGGATGGATGGATGGATGGATGGATGGATAGCTAGATAGATAGATAGATAGATAGATAGATAGATAGATAGATAGATAGATAGATAGATAGATAGATAGATAGATAGATAGATAGATAGATAGATAGATAGATAGATAGATAGATAGATAGATAGATAGATAGATAGATAGAGATCTGCAGAAACAGAAATAGAACTACTTGTAAAATAAGTCAAAAGCACATACCATATTTGGAAAGCTGCATTAAAAAACACGCCAGTCTGTCTCATTCCAGCAACAACTACAGCTTTATGTTCATCCCAACCAAACCGCACATCTGAATGAAATAGGGGTCAGGGGGTGGGGTAGTTTCTAAGGCAGACTGCCGCGTATTTCCGTCAAATGGGCAGACAATAGTTTCAAATGTCAGAAGGGATAATGGATTGATATATGTAATAGATATCAACTTTGTGTCGCGCGTCACATAGAAAAAGAAGTTGACGGTACAATGTTGAATTTAATTTAGCCTTTAGGAACCGTCCCTAAATTTCCCGACTAAATGCTCTTCAGAAACAAAAATTAAAACGTTCATCTCCTGTGACCCAGAAACAACATGTGATGGAGAGCAGAGGCTCCATCCCTATTAATTGATATTTATTTATAGAACAGATAGTTTTTGTTTCATATCTTTATTTCAGTTTGTGTGGTGTTAATTGGGGTTTACTTATAGAACAGATAGTTTTTGTTTCATTTCTTTATTTCAGTTTGTGTTGTGTTAATTGGGGTTTACCTTCCTGGTGTGTCTCCTTAGAAGGGTGGAGCATACCATGTGAGCTAAGAAGGATAATACTCTAAAGTTAAGTTATATTAAGTTTGATTTATTTTCTTGATTGACTTTAGGATTACGTAGTTGTTTCTAAGTTGCATGCATGTAAATATTTATTTGTACTCTTTATTTTGTGTTGGGTTTGTAAATAATTTATGGTTGTTTTGTCACCCCTTCACCTGGTGTGGAGTGGGAGTGGCCAAAAGCTAAAGCAACCTGCTGTGCTTGGCAGTGAAAGAAAATGGGTGTTGGTGTATTGGTGAACTGCAGCACCAATAAAACATATTCCACCAAGTCTTGTTGCATTGCCTCACCTCCTTCTAACGCAGTGCCGCCCTCGGAGAGTGACAAGTGGTGTCAGAAGTGTGGCTTTGGAGGAACAATGAGGCAATGATGCCCAGAGGTGGAAAAAGAAATAATGAGGCTGAGACTCAAGACAGTACTACAACTATGAGTGGAGCTGAGGCTGCTCCTGGTGCTAGCACTGATGACAAACTGGATCAGCTGGCAAGCCTTGTCCAATCAATGATGCAGTCTCAAACTGCCAGAGACCAGCAGATGGAGAAGGAATCAGCACGCCAAGAAATGAGATGGAAGAATTTACAACATCAGTTTCGACAACTCCAGGCTCATGTGGAGGAACTGAAAGAGGAACGACAGCATGATGGTGACAACATGGAGGAAGATCCTCAAACGTATGTTGATCAAGGAGATGATGATGAACAAAGTCAGATGTTCTACCGATTACCAGCTGGACAGAGGGAGCCAAAGCTGCTTCCACTGACTTCTGATGATGATGTGGAGCACTTCTTAACAACTTTTGAAAGGATTGCTATGGTATGTCAGTGGCCTAAAGAAGAGTGGGCGGTCCGACTGGTTCCACTACTTACTGGGAAAGCACGTAGTGCTTATGTGCTGATGGACATTGCACATTCTCACATTTATGACAAGGTGAAAGATGCCATATTGACCAAATATGACATAACGGCCGACACCTATAGAAGGAGGTTTCGATCCCTGGATGTTCATCAGGGTGAGACACCAAAAGAACTTTATGTTCGACTCAAGGACATGTTCTATAAGTGGGTCAAACCAGAGAAGTCAACAGTGAAGGACATTGCAGAACTGATGATCATGGAGCAGTTCCTCAGGATGGTGAATCCAGACTTGGAGGTGTGGATCAGAGAACGAGCCCCAAAGTCTGCAGACGAGGCTGCAAGTTTGGCAGAAGTCTTTTTGTCAGCAAGGACGCGAGCCAGAAGAACCAACTTTGGGCGTGACAACTTTCCTGCAGGAAGAAGTAAGTCTGATGGGGGTGAAAGGGGTGGTGCTATAGGTCAGACTAGGAGTTTTTCAGCTACTAAGTCATTTTCTGTGGCTAAACCCAATCCTGCTAAGAATTACTCCTCCTCAAAGCAAGATGTAAGGTGTTTTCAGTGTAACAGGATAGGTCATACACAGTACACATGTCCTGCCACTACACAGAGTAAGCCCTCCCTTCTATGTTCGGTTCCCAGACCACCTTCCCCATCCCCCGCCCAGGAACTTGCTCACTTGCTCACTTGTGCTAGTAAATGGTCAACGTGAAACAGCTTTATTAGACACAGGAAGTTTTAAATCTGTAGTTCTTTCTAGCTTGGTGCCAAGAGAGCAGTGGAGTGATACTAAGACAAAAATAAGTTGCACCCATGGTGACGAAATGGAGTATCCTGTAGCTGAGATTTATTTAACTATAGGAGGTCAAACATTTTTATTACCTGTAGCATTAGCACCAAGGCTCCCCTATGCTGTCATTTTGGGCTTGGATGTTCCCACATTAACTGATTTAGTGTCAAGCACAGAAGCTGAACATTTGACTCTCTTTAGAAACCATCAGGACACACAGTTCAGGACCCAGAACACTGTACCCTTGCAGATAAATGTCCCCAAAATAGCAGAAGCAGAACTTTCTTCTCCAATCTGGAGTTTGGTCACAACTAGAGCTCAGGAAGCACAGAACCAACTGCAAGAATTACCATTCTATGATGTCGAACTGGAGGTGGGCCCAGTAAAACCATCTAAATCCAGAGCTGAAAGGAGAAAGGATAAGTTTTCAGGTACAGTCGGAATGGAGGTGGATGAAAAGATTAAACCCTGCCCTTTATTTGACTTTGATATTCCTTCAGATATTTCTGCCTATCAGAGGTCAGACCCAACATTAAAACCATGGTTTGATAAGGTTATTGAAGTTGAGGGAAAGAAGCAGGGAAAAACAAGTGTCTTGGAAGATGCAACTTATGTTGTGCGGAGGGGTGTCCTTTATCAGGTCAAAGGTGAATCAGAAGCCATTGCTTTGCCACAGCAGCTGAGGGAAAAAGTGATGGAACTCTGCCATTCAGTTCCTTGGGCCGGGCACCTTGGGTTCCAGAAATCCCTTCATAGAATAACCAGTCGGTTTGTGTGGCCAGGCATGTACACACAAGTGCAAAAATTCTGCTCTTCCTGTCACACATGTCAGTTGACGACCAACAGAGGTGTATCTAGAGCTCATCTACAGCCATTACCTATCATAGACACTCCGTTTGAAAGGATAGGAATGGATGTTGTAGGTCCCCTGGAGAAAAGCTCCTCCGGTAACCGCTACATTCTGGTTATCTGTGATTACGCTACTAGATACCCCGAGGCTTTTCCTTTAAGATCAGTGAAAGCTAAACAAGTGGCTAACTGTTTGCTGCATCTGTTTTCACGCGTAGGCATCCCTAAAGAAATCCTTACAGACTGTGGGACTAATTTTCTGTCAAAACTCTTAAAGCAGGTTTATCAGTTGTTAGGTATAAAGGGTATAAACACCACCCCATACCACCCCCAGTCAGATGGACTGGTTGAACGTTTTAACCAAACGCTGAAGAACATGCTGCGGAACTTTGTTTCAGAGACTGGCACAGACTGGGACAAGTGGCTGCCCTATATGCTTTTTGCATATAGAGAAGTTCCACAAGCATCAACTGGATTCTCTCCATTCGAGTTGCTGTACGGACGACAGGTGAGGGGACCGTTGGATCTTCTTAAAGAACAATGGGAGAGCCCAAGTCCATCGGGTGAGCATGTGGTGTCCTATGTGATAAAAATGAGAGAGAAACTGGAGCAAATGGCTGTATTGGCACATCAGCATATGAAAGCAGCTCAGACTAAACAGAAAACCTGGTATGATAAAAATGCCAGGAAGAGGAGCTTGCATCCTGGACAGCAAGTGTTGTTGTTGCTCCCCACTAGTGATAATAAGCTTCTTGCTAAATGGCAGGGCCCGTATGAGGTCACGCAACGTGTCGGGAAGCTTAATTATGAACTGTATATACCTGAAAGGAAGAAGAAACATCAAACCTTCCATGTTAATCTTCTGAAACAATACCACAGGTCTCCACAACAGTTTAATATGTCATCTGCTTCACAGTCATCTCAACAGGATCCATTGCAGAGTGAGGAGCATGCAGAGACTGTTTTGCCCCACCTCTTTGTGCAGGTGGTGGATGATGAAGAGGAAGATGAGCTATTTTTTCCAGCCTGTAGCTCTGTACCGGTTTCTATTTCTGTCTCTCATCTCCAGCATTCTCAGCAGCAGGACATAAAGCCCCTTTTCGATCCAGAGCTGTTTCAGGAAAAACCTGGGTTCACAAGCCTGATACAGCACAAGGTTCACCTCAGAGATGACGCTGCACCGCGCAGGAAGTTCTACAGGGTTCCAGAACGTCTTGTCCCACAACTCAAGAATGAGGTGCAGTTCATGTTGGAGCTGGGGATCATTGAGCCCTCTGTGAGTGAATGGTGCAGTCCAGTCGTGCCAGTACCAAAAAAGGATGGCACTTTAAGATTTTGTATTGATTTTAGATACCTCAATAGTGTCTCTAAGTTTGACCCCTACCCAATGCCTCGCATTGATGAACTTTTGGAGAGAGTTGGGAGGTGCAATTTTATCACCACACTTGACCTCAGCAAGGGCTACTGGCAACTGGCCCTGGCATCAGAGGCGAAACAGTTGACTGCTTTTAAAACACCTTTTGGGGTTTTCCAGTTCAAGGTGATGCCCTTTGGCCTACAGGGGGCACCAGCAACGTTTCAGCGCCTCATGGACCAGGTGCTGATGGAGGCATCTGACTTTGCTGCAGCATACCTGGATGATGTGGTGATTTTCAGCCAGACGTGGGAGGAGCATGTTAATCATCTGCAGCATGTTTTACAGCTCATCAGATCTGCAGGGCTCACAATTAACCCTCACAAATGTAAGTTGGCTCAGAGGCAGGTAGAGTACCTAGGCTATGTGGTGGGACAGGGACAAGTTAGACCTCAAGTAGGGAAAGTAGAAGCTATTCACGCATACCCAGTTCCCACAACTAAAAGGAAGGTCCGTGCTTTTGTTGGCTTAGTGGGGTGGTACAGTAAGTTCATTCCCTATTTTGCAGAGAGGGCTGCTGTTCTGACGGATTTAACAAAAGTCTCTGCACAAATAAAGTCAAGTGGACTGAGGAGTGTGATAAAGCTTTTAAGGACCTGAAGTCTGCAATCTTCAGTGACTCTGTTCTCTACAGTCCAGACTTTGATGTCCCGTTTATACTGCAAACTGATGCCTCTGGAGTAGGCCTTGGTGCAGTGTTGCTGCAGGACATTGATGGTGAGAGACATCCCACTGTTTTTCTCAGCAGGAAACTTCAGGACAGAGAGACCAGGTATTCCACAGTTGAAAAAGAATGCCTCGCAGTTAAGTGGGCTGTGGAATCATTGCGGTATTATCTGTTGGGGCGCTCTTTTACCCTTGAAACAGATCATAGGGTGCTGAAATGGTTGCACCAAATGAAAGACTCTAATATGCGTATTGCAAGATGGTATCTGTCATTGCAGCCTTTTGATTTTACAGTGCAATATCGGTCAGGGAAGTCTAACCTTGTCGCTGACTGTCTGTCTAGAATGTATGAAGATTGAACAACTGTTGTCCTGGGTGAAGGGGGGAGGAAATGTGATGGAGAGCAGAGGCTCCATCCCTATTAATTGATATTTATTTATAGAACAGATAGTTTTTTTTCATTTCTTTATTTCAGTTTGTGTTGTGTTAATTGGGGTTTACTTATAGAACAGATAGTTTTTGTTTCATTTCTTTATTTCAGTTTGTGTTGTGTTAATTGGGGTTTACCTTCCTGGTGTGTCTCCTTAGAAGGGTGGAGCATACCATGTGAGCTAAGAAGGATAATACTCTAAAGTTAAGTTATATTAAGTTTGATTTATTTTCTTGATTGACTTTAGGATTAGTTGTTTCTAAGTTGCATGCATGTAAATATTTATTTGTACTCTTTATTTTGTGTTGGGTTTGTAAATAATTTATGGTTGTTTTGTCACCCCTTCACCTGGTGTGGAGTGGGAGTGGCCAAAAGCTAAAGCAAGCTGCTGTGCTTGGCAGTGAAAGAAAATGGGTGTCGGTATATTGGTGAACTGCAGCACCAATAAAACATATTCCACCAAGTCTTGTTGCGTTGCCTCACTTCCTTCTAACGCAGTGCCGCCCTCGGAGTGTGACACAACATTTTTAGAATTTATCTGGCATGTGTCTGACACTAAACTCATATTAAATAATTCATTTATTTAATTTTGAACAACATGGAGGAAACTTTAGCTTCTGCATTTTGATTATTCAAGAAAAAGATGAAATACTAAAACCAATATTCAGGGATGAATAATATTTGATGATTATCAAAACAATGCATACAGAGATTTTTTATCTATAACCAATTTTATATAATTCCAGCATTTTCCAATATATTTATTAAATACTTATTTATAAATCCCAGGTAGACATTTATTTAAACCCTTTAGCAGATGTGAAAGCCTTTATTGACGTTCTGCATTCATGTCATGATCTGCCCTGATGGCTCACCTTAATTGTTCATTTCACTAACCTGTCTAACTCTGCCAGGTTTTCTAATTATAAGTCACCTCACCCACCTGTGTCTTTTCCTTTATATTCGGTTCAACCCAAAATATCGGGGCCAAATCATTGCTTGCTTTCGGTTTCTCCTGTCTGTCGGTTTCGTGAGTTTTAGTTATTTCCAAAGTTCGTGTCCCCGTTTCCAGTAAGAGATTACTCATCGCATCTCTCTAATGAGATGGACTGTACTGTTAAACCAGCATGTTAAAATCATCTATTAAGGGTTCGACCTAGGGAAGCAACTTTGAAAATGTTGGAAACAGCTGTGTTTCCAACATTTGATTTGTAAATACATGTTATATTCTATATTAATGATGAAAAAAAAAAAAGGAAAAAAAGCTATATTAATAATGATTAGAAATTATTAGATTCTATTTTTTGTTTTGTTTTACATTTTTCCTTATTTACCAACAATTTTCAGCCAACAACACCTTAAAAAACCGCTTCTATAGGCAGTAAACAGCGACCTGCTTTTGGTTTCGAAACTAATTAACGTTCCCTGAGCAACGGAAAAAGGAAAGTAGTATCAGTGTTTGGTTTTGGTTTTCTAGAAAAAAAAAGCTAATTACCTGGACGTAAACGGAGCACGCAGGTCGTAGGTATATGGCAGGCCGTTTTGACATTTATTAGAAGCGCTGTCCTCTATATTTCCATTTGTTGATCTCTAAAATAAAATTATTCCAAGTCAAAACTCCATTCCAACTAGCCAGAAATGTAGATATAAATATCCTGAAATTCATTTTTGAAAACAACAAACAGGAGGCTACTTTTCAGGCTGCCAAAAATATAGATGTTCTAGTAAGAACACATTTTCAAATACCTAGAAATCTGTACAAATTTTAAGTGGCCCTTTTGACATTTATTAGCTTGACTGAATATATATTTTAGATATCTCAAATGCATTTATTCCTAGTCAAAATAAGCATTTCAGATATCTAAAATAACATTCTTCCTATCTAAAATAAACATTCTCCCTATCCAAAAAGAATTCTGACTAGGATGAATTCTAATTTCAGATCTCCATAATTGAGTTACTGTTAGTCATAATTACTATTTCAGATATAGAAAAATGAATGTAACATTACAGATGTCCAGAAATCCAATTCTTGACATCTAAAATATATTTCTGCTAGTAGAATATTAATTATAGATATCAACTATTGATATATGACTAGTTAAATTTGAATTTCAGATATCTACATTTTAATAATACCAATCCAAAATGCATTTTTAGAAACTTAAAAACATATTTTGACTAACATTCAAAAAAGAATAATGAGGCACCATTTTAACATAAAATAGGCAGACTAACTAGTCACATTTCTATTATAGATAGCACTAAAGCATTCTACCTCGTCACAATTACAATACTCCTAGCCAGAATTGTATTTTAGATATAACTATTTACATTTCGACCAGTAGAAATGAAATTTTAAGTTGTTCTGACTTTAATCTCAGAATTCTGAATTTTTTCTCAGAATTCTGACTTTTATCTCACAATTCTGACATTTTTCTCACAATTCTGACTGTAATCTTAAAATTCTTTTTTTCTCAGAATTCTCAAAAAAAAAAGCCAGACATCTGAGAAAAAAAGTCAGAATTCTGAGAAAAAAGTCAGAATTCTTAAAAAAAAAAAAATAAATCAGAAATCTGAGAAAAAAATCAGAATTCTGAGATTAAAGTCAATATTCTGACTTTTTTCCTCATATTATACTGAAATAAGATGTAAAAATCAGTTAACTTTTCTATTTTTTCACTGGTCCTAATCCTCTTCCTTAGAAATATGACTAGTCAGCCTGCCTATTTTATGTTAAAATCGTGCTTCATCATTCTTTTGAAAGTATCTAAAACTAAATAAGGCATTATTAAAATTGAGATATCTTGATTTCTAATTTAACTAGTCATAAAATAAATACTTGAAATGTGCAATTATATTTGTACTAGCAGAAATATATTTTAGATGTAAAGAATTGTATTTATAGATATCTGTAATGTTGTAATCATTTTTGATATCCGAAATAGTAATTATGCCTAGGAGTAAATCTATTATGAAGATCTGAAATTAGAATTCATCCTAGTCAAAATTTAGTTTAGATAGGAAGAATGTTTATTATAGATATCTGAAATTCTAATTTTGACTAGGAAGAAATGCATTTGTGACATCTGGACTATACATTCAGTCAAGCTAATAAATGTCAAAACGGCCTGCCAAAGTTCGCGAGCAGGAGGAGGAGCTGCACCGTCCAGTAAAATCAGTGGTTTTCCAAGGATGCAGACGTCAGTCGACCAGCAGAACACATCGCAGTCAGTCCAGATCAACTTAATAATGAATGTTCTGCCGTGGCTCCTTCTATTGCTGAAAGGTAAAAATATTTATTTTATAAAAAGGACTGAGAAACTAATGCTTAAATGTTAACTCGATTAGAAATGGTTTACAGGAAAAGTCTTACGCACAAAACAAGAGATTTTGTAAAAACTCTGTGTCAATACCTAAAATAAAGAGCAAATTTAAAAGGATAAGAGCTATTTTTGAACAATTATTCTTTAAAGCCATACATTTTCAGATAAAACTTGAAATATTTTTCCCTGTGCCATTCCACATTACATGTATTACACTTAACTTGATTTCTGGACATCTATGGTTTCATTTTTTTTTATTTGTGCATGGATTGTTACCAACATCTGGGCAAATTTTCATGTCAATTGCACCTCTAGAAATAATTCTTACTGAGAAAAATGGTGGTGCATTCAATACTTATTTTAAAGTAAATTGTTTGCTGAATGAAATACTCCATAAACGATATTAAAATAAACATATTGAGGGATCATTTCTGTGAGCCACACAGTACAGAGAGAAGAGTTGAAGGCAGAATAACCCCTACACTCTAAAAACAAAGGTTTGGAAAACCTAATATACATACTTTTTGCTAGAAATGCATATAACTCCAAATGTTTTCAGTAAAATTCTCAATTTTTCCACGTAAAGTTGGGGAATCTTTTTTTTTCTCTGCTGGGAGAAACACGTCACCTTGTTAAAAGCCAATATAAATAAAAAGACCAGATTACACAGGAATTTGGGTGGTTTTTTAGGAGCTAAATCTGGACATGACACATCTGCTGTTGCAGACCGACATGGTTATAATGCTTTACTTTCCTCAATAAGGCTAGGTAACAGTAGTGCGTCTATTTAGAGCGTTTAAGGAAGCATAACAAATAAAAACTCTATGTCATTAAACTTGTATTCTGATTTTTATTGATTGTTAATATACTACATTAATAAGTTCACAGATTCATAATTGCTGGCAAATAGTGGCATGATTCAAAATATTTAATCGAAGAAATCCATTTAAATTGTTCTTTACCTGAACAGATGCTCAGAAAGCATTCAGTGAGCTCTTGACTCATTAATATTGTTTAAAAATTGTTTATTAATTTATTTTTAGGAGTTTGTATTTCTCCAATTTGGTGTCTTTAAAAGGTATAAAGTTGAACAACACAATTGCTTCTTTTAAAAATTTACCTGGGTAAATAAAATTGTATTCCATAAAATTTTGTTGAATTATTAACCTGGCATAAACTAGATTAATACTTTGTGGAATTACAATTGAACTACATGAATCGATCTGGAAAGCCTTACGTAGAAGTTGTTTCCAAAGGGAGGGACATTCAGAACAATTCTTTAGGTTGATTGGGTGCCTTCCCTCCATCTCGTGGTGTTAGCCAATCACAGCAGGAGCAGCAGCAGCAGCTTGATTTGTTTCACAACTAGTGGGGTTAAATGATAAATCAAATTCTTCCCGTGGTCCGGAGAACACCAAACATCTTCACATCCACAAAGAAAAAAAACTTATATCCTTTTCCTTGTTTTTCAAAAAATAAATAGCTGGTATTCCACGGGAAACCAACGCAGCCATGTTTGTTTTGCTTTGGTTGAAGTATTGACGTCATACACATCACTGCATTTCCTTTGTATGAAACATTTCTGTATCGAGGCACACGCATCTGCTGGCTCCTAGCAAGGTGTATTTTCATGCATTTGCTAAATCACAAATGTAGCGACAGTTCATCTTGCTTGCAGGGTAATTGAATTATTACAACCCTTAGAATATATGAAGATATGATTTTAGAATATATGCAGATCACTGAAGACTAAATTTAAACTTTAACTGTGAATTTAGATGACATTTGTTTGTGTCCAATATTTACATATAGGCTAGCATATAATTACTAATTTTGTAAGTTTTTATTTAACAATGCCTTAAACATTATGTTGATAAAACACAAAGCTTGTTTTTTACACTGTGGCCCTAAAACATTTGACTCAAAAAGGTTCGGATGAGAGGCGGTTGACTTGCCAGGCAAAAACTCTTTTTATTAGGACATGCATGAATAAGAACCTGGTAAAAAAAAATAAAAAATCTTTCGCAGGTAATGATACCTATTTATCATCTAAATATGTAGACATACTGAGCGATATGCCAGGGCATGCAAACCATGCTCTGTAGGCAGGTATTGCTCTGGAAGGCAGAGTAGTGCCTGTCTGGTACATTTTTTTGGTGCCTGTAGTGTAGAGCTGTAGGAGAAACCACATCTGATGGAGAGGACTGAAATGACCCTGCACAGATTAGGTTTAAAAGCATTCTGTACATTTTTACTAGCATGCATCTCTAAACAAGAAGTAATGTTATTGTTGCGGGGAGCTCTAATCTGATGGAGATTCTGCAGAAGAGGCTAAAGATAAGGATGAGTGCAAGGAGGCCTTCCAACCTCAAAGATGTAATGCTGAAGGCATTGGATAAAGGGTAAAAAACATGCTTGCTGAAACGCATATTTCCCTCTCTGTGGGGCAATAAAGGCTATTATATTCCGAAAGCTCATTTATCATGCCTCCTGTGCTTTTACAAGTTAAGCTAAAGTGAAATGTCTGAACATGTCTGTGCTTTTATCCCTCATAGAGCACGAAACACACTAAAAATAACAGCAAATGTATTTAACTGAAGCTTTATTTGACAACTGCTCCACCTGATATTTGAAGCTTTAATCTCAGCACAAATATTAAGATTACACAAAACAAAACAAAAAAAACAGAAGGAAAAGGAACAAAATGCACTCAGAGCCCAAAGCTCCTTCGATTTAGACTATTTTCTCCTGTCTTTGAGTTTGTTTTTTTTAACAAATATCTGATTACAGTTTAAGACTGCTAAGCATGTGGTTTTAAGACAGATTTCTGAGGTTTCCAAATCAAGTATTGACTTAATAAATGAATGAATGAAAACGTCACTCTCTTTTGCAGGAGTTTGTTCGCTGAGGCCTATATATATCAGGACAGGTGAGATGGTGGTTCTGCGCTGCCCCCTTAAAAAAGATGCCAATGCTACTCTTTTGTGGACCACTCCATCCAGACAAGGAAAGACGCTGACCAGCAGCATGTCAGCAGGATCAGCTGATTTAGGTCAGATGGACATGATGCCTCGGGGACGCAGTCTTGTGATTCTGACAGCATCTATGAAGCATCATGGAAACTACTCATGCTCAATTAGGTAAGACTCAAGCAACCTTGATCCTGAGTTACAAAAGATCTTTTTTTTTTTCTGAAGTGAATTCAAAAATACATTAAAATTGGCCAAAATGGGGGCTGGTTCAGTGTGTCATGTTGATGCTGGATCAGATTAATCTTAAACTTTTAGCTATCCTGTTCCCCAGCCTTCGCTCTGATCTGATAGAGTGCTGTTGGTATATCTGAGACATTACATTGGAGTTATTGATCTAATCTGCCAATTGTTTACATTTTCTGTCTCTCAATGTATTAATGGCTAAATGGCCGTTAATGGAAATTTGTTGTTTTTCTCAGATTAGCAGCTGTTAAAACCTTTAAAAACCCTAAACATTTTAAGTTATTGCTCCATTTATGTTTTGCTACAGTATCTCATAAAAGCCAAACAAAATAAATTCAAAATAATATGGAAAAGCAAATCAGACCAGACAAGCCATCCTCTTTTATTTACAGATTTCTGACTCACTTATTTTAATGTTTCAACAGGAACGACAGCAGCAGTTTCTGGTTCAGTCTGATTGTGTATGGACCAGATTCCAGAGAGTATGAAGAAAGGAATCTATATTCAGCAAAATGCTATACAGAAGATTTCTGCACACTGTATTGTCCAAAAGTGCACATCCCCAATCATGATACTCCTGATATCACGAGCAGAGGGATTACATGGCACAAGGTATGAGTTCTGGCAGCATTAACCTGAAAAGCTCGCGTGTGATTGGTTTTCTTTCTTTGGTTTCTTCTAACCTAATCTTACATCTGGCAGGAGGGGGAGAGATTAGCAACATCAAATACATTCTCAAATGTGACAGAAAAAGATGGTGGTGTCTACACATGCATCAGGTCGTTCTTGTACAACAATCATATTTACAATATGACCTTCAAAATGATACTGGAAATCCAGCATAGCAGTAGGAATTTTTTTTATTTTTATGCGTATTTATGCTCATAAATTTTCAAACTAATTAAAGAATAAGATATTTTTGGTGCACAGGTAAAGCAAAACCTGAGATCCTCTCACCAAAGCATAAGGATGTGTTCCTCGTAAATTTAGGTGAGTTGTCTGGTTTCAGACTGCGACTTTGTCTGGAAAGTTTTCCTATATTTTATGGCGTCTCAACTCTATCTTTCAGGCTCAACAGTGGTTATTCATTGCAAAACTGTTTTGAATTCAGACTTGAATCAGGTGTTTTGGCTAAGTGACAGTTCATTTGTAGATACCAACGAGAATCTGCCTGTTTTCTATAATCATTCAAGGTAAACATATTCTATATGCTGCATGTTCCAGCTTGTATTACACAACACTTTGAAGTGCTTGACCCTTTACTTTTTTGCTTTATTCCTTTTAGCGTCGTACATAGAGATCAAATAAATATGACAGCAACTTTGGTCCTCAGAGATGTGTCAGAGGAAGATCTGTTGAAGAATTACACCTGTAAACTGGAATCTGACCAGCACACAAGTTTTGCCACCATCTCTCTGGCTGAAAAAGGTATTGTAGTTAAGCATGAAGAGGTTAAGATTTACTTAAAAGATTTAAATCTCCATAATAATTTTGTACATACGTTTCTTGCAGCCCGTCCAGTGCCCTGTTTCTTGAATGTCTTGGTGATCATTTGCATTTTGGTCATTGTTACTGTGGTTTTGATCATTTTGCTATCACTGGCATACCATCTAAGAAAGTCCAAATTTTCAATTTGCTAGGTCTAAAAAACTGGGCATCTATGGGTGGTTCTGACAGGACCCAGTACCCATTGGAACTAGTCCTTGATGTTATATAGAACTCATATTTGCTGGTATAATAATTTTTGAAGCTATTGATCTGTTAATTTTTTTTTACCTTTACAGTTTTATTTCATCCATCCATTTTCAAACACACTTAATCCCAAGTGGGGTCGTGAGGGGTGCTGGCGCCTATCTCCAGCTGTCAATGGGCAAGAGGCAGGGTCCATTGCAGCACAGAGACAATTCACGCACACCTAAGGAGAATTTAGAGAAGCCAATTAACCTAACAGTCACGTTTTTGGACTGGGTGGAAGCCAGGTACCTGACGCATGCTCAGGGAGAACATGCAAACTGTTCTCTGCAGAAAGACCCCAGGCCAGGAATTGAACCCAGAACCTTCTTGCTGCAAGGCAGCAGTGCTACCCACTACTCCACCGAGCATGCCAGTTTTATTTCAAAAATTATTATGAATGAAGGTAACGCACTTTTAGCATTAGTAATGTTACTGTGGGGTAACATTTTTAGGGAAGCACGGATTGTCATTTTCTGGTCGACATCCAATCTTTAAAAAGCCTGACGTGCCAATTCTGATTTTGACCAATACCGATGTTAGAATTGTTTTATATATTTCCGAAAATAAAGATTAAAGACCTGCTTACCACTGGGAAGATGCCTTTGCAAGGCTGTAACTACCCTTTTAAAGGCTAAGGCCTAAATGGGTTTGTTTTTTTATGGTATAATTTCTACCACCTACTTCTACTTGACACTGGAACCAAATTGATAAAAATGTTCGACCACCCTTGTTTTATTTTTTCTAAGATGTATATTTCCTGAACAAAGTAATTTTTTGATTGTGTTTTTTAACCTAGGTCTTTACTTTTATTGTTTTTATAACCACGACACAGAACTTAATGTCCTATGGAAAATACCCTTGAATTATACTTAAATTTTTTTTCTCATGCATTAATGGTTGCTGCAACTTAGTCTCATTGATTAGTGCAGGAGTCAGTTTCTAGGATTATCCTTTATCCGTTTTTTGTCTGTAATGATTTTCCGCCCCCTAGTGGTCGTAACATAGAACGCATTAAACACTTTCTGATCTCACTGCATTAATATTAAACTAATTAGAGGTGGGTAATCCAGGAAGTAAAAATCCTGTGCAGAAATTAGTTCCAACCATTGGCATTTGCAGATCCCCAACACAGACTAATAACCTGAGGGTCTAACCACCTGGTTAAGTAAACAGGATGAAGGAGAAGGGCAGGGTTTTTAATTTCTTGACCTGAATTATCCACCTCTGAAACAAATGGTAGAAAATAGGCTGCTTAGAGTAAAAGAACAGTTAGTTTGAGCTTTTAAGTCAACGCTAATATGAAGAAAAAACAACACTAATGTACGTAACTGGGATCTCTCAATAAAAATGGAAATATAGCGATGGATATAAACAGGTTTTCGAAATGAGTGAAACATAAAGAAAAGTCCCGGCTTTGGAAATATCCAACATTCAATAAAGTTAATAATATATAAGCGCCAAACTTCCAAAGATCCAAGACCCAGCTCATCTATATACCCCTTTATATCCTCTATCGCTACTCCTTGTTTATGGAATAGCCTGCCACTGCAAATTAGGGAGGCTCCTTCCCTGCCGAATGTCAAAACATTGCTCAAGACCTACTTTTAGTCACTGGCTTCTATCACTGGCAGGAATTAGTTGTTATGACATTTATTTAGCCATCTTATAATTGCCCTTATTTTACTTAATTTTTTTTACTGTATTTTAGTCTTTTATTGTGTTTTATCCTTTTAGTTATGTTCAGCTGTAGCTGTTTTAAAGCACTATGTATAAAGTTGAAAATGATGATGATGAGTAAAGTTACATCCATGTTAGAATCCAAATTTTAGAAAAAAATGGTGTCACTTTTTATATAAATAATCTATAAAGTGTATGAGTTGTTTTTTTAAAAGAATTTTTTGTTGAAATGTACCTTTATGTGTGTGTTTGTTCATTTTTATCGCAAATAAATCTAATATATTTTCTGCATGTTATAGTGTTAAGGGTTTTTTTTGGTCACTTCTACAATTAAGGTGTCTGTTGTGAAAGGTGGAGGAAAACCACTGAGCTACAAAAAATATTCTGCATATATTTTAAATATGTGTTTTACATATATTTAAAAATATTTTAAATCTAAAGGTGCCTGGTGAAACTAGGGTAAATAGTTCAGCAACCTCAATCCAAATACTGCACATTGTAGCTGCTAAAGTGTAGGAAATGATCTCTGGACTGTTTTGCAGAATCCAGATAGCCTTAAACCTTCCAGACCTAACTAAGCAACAGAGACGCATATAGATGATGCTTGTCAAATTGATGGGACACCAACTGCAAGATCACTCCGTCTATGCTGAAATGCAAGTCAGTGTAGGCAAATAAAAAAAACCACATAATAGTTTGAATGCCGACCTAGTGAAGCACAATTACCTGGGGCCTTTTGTCTAATGGGGAGTGTTGGCCAAGTAGTAAGAGCAGTGTCCTGGTTTTCTGAGAAGGTTGTAAGTACCCGGTTTGATCCCCACAGCCTCCACTCTGGGTCCCAGAGCAAGACCCTTAACCCCACACTGCTCCCCAGGCGCCGCACAATGGCAGCCCACTGGTCTCCAAGGGGATGGGTTAAATGCAGAGGTAAATTTCTCCAATGTGAAATCAATAAAGTTTAATTATTATTATATATATATTTTTTTTTTATTATTTTAAAGTGGTAGTAAAGAACTTTTTGGTCGATTTTGTCTCACCCCAGTGGACAAAAGCTGTATTGTTTTGCTTTGCGGAAGACTATTTCCCATGAGGACCTGTAGCTGGATTGAACTACATTTCCTTTAACTGTGGCTGTGCCAAAGATGAACAGCAATGAGGAAATGAATGTAATTCTGGCTAAATAATGTCATATGACAATCTTCAAAACAATTCAATACAAAATCTTAAGTTTTTATACCATATGGATCCCAGCAGGGAGGTACCTGAATCTCTACCCTGTACAATTTGCACAAATATATGGTCTCTCAGGGAAATTTAGTCTTCATTCTTTATAATGATTGGGGAAAGGTGGAAGTGAAGCATGCCGTAAAGCAGTCTGCACATTTGTAGTTATTTTGTGTGGCACCCTATTCAAAGCTGCTTTGTGTTGCTAAGTATGAAAGCAATACAGACCTTCTCAACCCAAGACAGAGGTGTCATTCCACTAGTTGTAAGTTTATGTTTAATCGCAAATGTTATGAAAATATTTTATGAAGGTTGAAAAGTTAGTGTTGGTTTAAGGCAAAGACGGCGGCAGACAACATCAGTATTTTTATTCTACATCAAGTCGAAAGTTATTTCAAGATTTAAAATAGGGCAATTTCTAAGACGGGGGGACACACACGGGGATGATGCTTGTCAAATTGGTACTACAGCCTTAAAGAAAAGAACATCAGATTTACAGGAGAGTTAAAAATAATGTATTATTAAATTCGTCCTTATGCTAAATGTATTGATATTCGGAAACATACTTCGTTCTTGTCCTGACTCCTTCTTAACTACCAAACCTATTCGTATAGCATGTTTCCTGTAGACGCACTTCAACTGTGTATTGTTGATAATTTGAGGTATTTAGATTGAGCCAAAACATTTTACTATAACGCTTTGCAGGAAATCAGACTTAAATTAAATAAAAGGTGTATCAATCTGGGCATTACCTCATTACTGTCTATGGCAAAAAAAAAAAAATAAGACAAAAGGATTGGTACAAAATAAATCTATTCAATTATTTTTTTATGGCTCTGACAGTCACGTCTAGAAGAACAGGTGTTGCTCTTATACTTTTATTAATGTTGGCATATGAACAAAGCAGGAATAAAGAAATGTGTGATGAACAGAAAACCAGAACTAAAAATTTGGGAGCAAAAAGGGTCATTTTTGTTTTACTGCAAAATATGCAAGTTTGAAAAAAGAAATAATGAAACCACTTCATGGTTTAAATAATGATCTCGTCATTGCAGCCTACGGCGATCAATCAGTAAAAGCCCCTCCTCAGGTCATAATGTAGTAATGCTATACTGATATTTGCATCTCAGGGAAGGGTAAGCCCAACTGGTTAATTTCTTATACTGTCTTTGTTTGGCTGGTGGCCGCTTTTGTAAGGTGTCCACAAATGAGCGGCTGGTATGAGGGAAATACGAGGCTACTAAATGGTTATGCTGTTTTCACACTTAATGTAATTCCAGCAACAAAGTTGCTACAATCCAGTGCTGATGCTCACCTGACATATAACCAGAAAGTTGCAAGACAGGCGATAACTTACACTCCTGTTTCTTTCACTATGGTTTTTGCACTGATTCTGGCCTGATCACTCAGTCCATACACCTGCTCTGCTCCACCCGTCTGCAATCAGCTTTGACCGGAGTCACCTGTTTCCAGCACTTTAAAAACCCCATCAGATCAGTCCTCTGTGCCAGATTATCTCGAGCCAACCCGCTACGAATAGTCCAGCATCTAAAGGAGTACCTGACCACCTATCTGTTTCTGACCCGATCTGCCTCCTGACTCCGAGCCTGCCTGACCCCTGTATGATTCTGCCTTCCTGATTACCCTCTCTGCTCTGCCTCTGGATCCCCGGATCTCTGTGTCGTTCTGCCATCCTGCTCCCCTCTCTCTGGATTTCTGACTCGGAAAAGCTAAGCTAAACTGCCTGCCTCCTGGATCTAACTGGTAAACCTCCCTTAATCTGCCCACCTGTCTACCTGCAGCCTGTTTGCCCACACAGATTCAGCCCCGCTTTCAGATTAACCCTTTCAATAAACCAATCAAAATGTCACCAACCTGTCTTGGTTTATTTGGATCCAGTCTCTGCCTCATTACAACCACATCATCTAATATAGAGGGCTTCCATCTGCCTCTTGCCAGTTTTAATAGAGCACCTGGATTAGACCAAGCAAGTCATGATGCTTTTCAGAGAGTCCAAGAGCTACGGCTGAATTACAGTCGCCACCAATCTTGTTTCAGTCTGACCAAGATGTTATTCTCCTTAATGCTCTGTGCAGATTGCTTACATTGAAATTGTTTTGGGTTTTTATTTTCAAAAGTTTGACATAATTGGAAAAGCTTATGCACCACTTTTTCAGAATCTAAATAACTCAGCACCTGATGGCTTACTACACAGCTTAAAACAGGTGAGAAGA